CTCACCTCCGAGGCGGAGTCGCGTGGTTTGACGTAGTTGGATGGAAAGACGCCGGTCTTCCCGCCCACCATGCCGGTCCACCAGTCCCCCTCTTTCCGGGTCACCACCACCACGTCCCCCTGCTGGAAGCTCAGGTCTCCCTGCTCGCTGCTCTCGTACGTGTACATGGCCACAAACTCTGCGGGAAGAAAAGGCCTTTAAAGTCAGGGACAACTGACCAGAATACTGAACATTTTCCTCCCCCTGGCCATCAGACTACTTAACGCCCAATAACACTCCTCCACACCCCCACACACACAAATTTGTTGATGTTTCGTTGCAAAAATTCAGTGCAATATATACAGGACTGTCTCAGAAAATTGGAATATTGTGATAAAGTTCTTTATTTTCTGTATTGCAATTAAAAAACATGAAATGTCATACATTCTGGAATCATTACAAATCAACTGAAATATCGCAAGCCTTTTATTGTTTTAATATCGCTGATTATGGCGTACAGCTTAAGAAACCCAAATATCCTATCTCAAAATATTAGAATATCTGATTTTTGAGTTTTCTTCAGCTGTACGCCATAATCAGCTATATTAAAACAATAAAAGGCTTACGATATTTCAGTTGATTTGTAATGAATCCAGAATGTATGACATTTCATGATTTTTAATTGCATTACAGAAAATAAAGAACTTTATCACCATATTCTAATTTTCTGAGACTGTATATGTATAAATATAATTCTTTACGCGTAGCGCTTAGTTATAGAATAGTATACAATACATATTTATTGTGTAGGAATAAGGTCTTAGCTGTTACACTGGTAGCCAAGTAATCGACATTTCGTTGTCAAATTCACCTCGTGTTTTTGTGCAATGACAATAAAGGAAGTCTAAGTCTAAGTCTAAGCTGCTGGAGGCGGGAGGTTAGCAGGTTTGTGTTAGCTACCTTCTCCAGAGTCAGAGGGTTTGGTCGGGGAGGGAGACGGACGTTTCCCGTTGGGTGGGCTCTCAGATATTCCAGATTCACTGAAACAGACAGAAGCCAAATAAAGTCACAGGAGAAAAAACTTTTCAGAAACTGGCCTGTGATTGGCTCACATGAGCTCTTTCTACAGGTAGCTACAGATATAGATGGAGAGAGTGCTCTGAAATGTCTTAAAATGTCTTAAAATGTTCTTTAAAATGTCTTTTTTGTGTGTCCT